AGTTATAAAAGTCAAGTAAAGTATTATTAGGCATTTTGATTTCGAAATTTTCGGCTCGGAGTTTGGACGAGTGCCCGGCGAACGGCAATATTCCTGACCTAATTACCTATTATAAGTGATTAATAACTGCAGAATTTGTAATTTATATCTTTACTAATTCATTTTGAGTTAAGTAATCGTAATAGTTTGGTTCTAAGAATTGATTAAGATATAGGTATGCTCCAAATATAACTGTAAAATGTATCTTATTGTAAAAATGGGACATCATCATTATATTCAAAGACTGCCCATGACCGTCTGCCGCTGGACTATATGACTCTTCTATACAATTGGCCTAATCTCCATGCTTGACGAATTTGGAAAATTTAGTTTGCTTTTAGAAGATTCAGGCGACAATCGGGTATAGTATATCAGGAGAACTTTAATTCTGCTCTTAGTATATATAGGTACTTTTAGGTCTTAAACCAAAGTACTCTCGTTAAGAAATTAATTAACTTTATTGTGTGACAAATTTACAACAAATTACAAATGAATATTTAATGTGTCAAATCTAATGAATACGTTGTTGAAAATAAATCGAAACATGGTAGCAACGATATAAATAATAATAAGAATTTAACATACTGTAATTAATATTTAGTTATGGTAATGCGTGCACAATTAAAATTAATGATTACGTGAGCAATGTAAACAATTAATTAATTCATTACATAATTGTAATTTTTGTTAACTTTTTTATTTTTTGTTAACGTGTTGTTTGGTAATCGGTGTAAGTTGCATTACGACGATGGTTATATGGTAATATCTTTCAGTATTAAGTGACTGACAGTTCGAGCTGTCAGCTGTCAATTTTGACAGTAAACTTTTGTACACAGAATACATCTGTTGTGTGTTCATAGTGTTGAGCTTTCGTCATAGTGATGTACTTTAATTTGATGGACAGGATGATGTGAACATGAATTAACGATTGTGTAACTATCATGTCTAGATGATCTAACTAGCTTAACTAGTGGTTGCCAGCGTTTAAATAAAAACTAGATTAAACATCGGCATAAAGAATAACGTCACAAGTCAACCACGTTCATGGTCTTAAAGCGATAAACAGTAAAAGATACTACAAGCCACGTCTCAAAATATCGTCTTTGATCTATCTTCGAATCAGAACATCGTAGTAGTGAATGTAGGTTAGTCTAAGGTACGATTGACATTGAACAAGAGATTAATTGCGAGACGTCTCGAGGTGTAAACGGGTCTGCCGCATTGTTGGCACTGAGCCAACTAAACCGACTGAACACAAAACAATACAACCAATAATAGTATTTACGACTTTACGTCTAAGAAACATTAGCCCCAGACTAACTTCTCGATACTAAACCATTAGGAAACGGCAAAAATTAAATGCGTCACTTAATATTAATATTTAGAACGTCTGGGCTATTTTTGAGGCGCGCAAATTTTGATGATTTGCCAAATTTTGTTGTGCCTGTTTGTCTCGGTCAGCTGTGGTATTTAGTTCGCGTCGTCGTGTCAATCGATGGACGTTAGAGAAAAGTAAACTACAAGTTGACGATGTTTATACTTCGATTGTGGCAATAGATAGCGTGGACCGTATTTAATACAGATTCTCCAGGAAGTGAGATTTGACGAAGACAGTTTGGAGAAATCGCGTCACTTTTCTTCTTGATGATGTTATTTGAAGAAGATCTAAAACGGTTACAGCATCCTTAATTCCTACATCCTTAATTCTTACAGTTTACTAGAAGATCAATGTTAAGATGGGTCAATGTTTATTAACTCTCTCGTATAGACACTAAGATTCTCAGGGTTCTCTTATTAAAATTCTCACACATTAGTATAGTTTAACTAAAACATATTCAAATAGTAAGTGAAATTTCTTTAATAACAATGTATAGAGCTATGAATTTTCTTGAGTGCATTTCCTATGCTCCCTGCATATATTGTCCTGTCATAGTAATTGAAGCAGCATTTCTAATAACTAGATCAGTATAGAATTTATTAATAACTAGACTTAATTAGGTCTTAGCTGTGTCGAGCTAATGTCATATTCTCATTAGACGGAGCTTTCATGGCTGCATCGAATATAATTAATGGTCTTATGTATTATGTATGGTGTCGTTAGAATGTAGATAGAGTAGATTAGCAAGCGATACATTATGTAGCACCAACTATCACCAGTCGGAAATGCTTCAAATATCTAGACGATGACGATCGGACAGTCTGGGATATATTTCTAATATTATGTTTCTTTTTTCGTCTCCATTAATGTTCCGCCTGTCTCTTGTTACTTTCTGTAACTGTATTGTTTCTTTAATGTTCTTTTGTGTTCGCAAATTGTTTTGGGGTTGAATTGAGATATATAGTGTACTTTTTTTGGATACCTATCTATATGGAGATTATTTTTGACCAACAATGTTATTCTCCAGACTCTCAAGAACTCATATTTTAGATAATAATAAGTTAGTTATCTGACGATGAGAATGTTACATCTATTGAGAGTATCCCTTCTTCAACTTTATATCTATTTTTATCTTATCTACCTTATAAACAATTAAAAACTTTATGGTAACTTCTAGGCGAGGAATTATTTATGTTTACAGACTAGGTCCATCGTCTTCAATGAGGAAGTTGCAATGAAAAAGTTTCATTATCAGAACCACACATAGATGGAAAGTAAACGATGGCAATTTGTCATTATATTTACATAAGCATTACAAGATGGGTTTCACTCTCTCTTTTATGCGTACACGCATCAGGAACTGCGTTCAAGTAAAATGTTAAACTTAATGATTGACTGTCTCGTTGATGTTGATCAAATGGTTGGCAGTGCAGTTGAAGAGGCCAGACGGCCTACAGAAATATTTCGAATGTCCAACATTTTTGTGCTGAATCAAACAATTTGTGTATAAAATCGTTAATTTTATCATTTCATTCGTTTGAAAATGTTATCATTTGGTACCTAGCTATAATTAAAATTACTAGAAAATAAAACTATGAAATTTCGTTAAAGGGCTTCCTGGTTCTGTATGAATCTCTCCCAAATTCAACCTATAAATTAAGAATTTGCATTGTATGTGAATTTTCTCGCTAGAAATCTTGTAGTTGATTGCACTCTGTGCCGTGTAACTTAATAAAAGGTTACCACACTGAAGAGACGATGACTTACTCATACTTCTGTTATTTACCCTTCAAAGGGTTCTCTTTGAGAAGTAATTCATTAACAACTCACCATTGACGTCACTTCTGTCAGTAGGAAGTAACGAACTGTCAAATGAGTAGTCAGTTAATGAGTATAGTCGGTTGACTGTTGACTGCCGACTTAGATGTTGCCCTATCTTCCGGTCATTAGACTACAGTAGTGTTTCCTTTCATGCCGGATGCTGTGTGGATGAGATGAATGATGGATGATCTTCATTATTGGCTTTGTTCTGAAACGAGAGTGTATTGAATGACTGCTTGTGTTGCATAATTGCTTGTGAGCTTAAACATTAAATAGGTAGTACGTATTAGCACGACTATTAGGGAGATTCGCATTTTCCATGGTTGAACACGATTTTTTTTGAGTGGGGAATGTCATCCAATGACGAACTATACGACGAAAATAATTACTATTTCAGACATTGCTTTTTAACTTTTATTGCAATCCCTGAGAGAATTACAAAAGGTCCATGCATATGTATGGATGCACGTAAATATAACTTTAGTATTGTGTGTCGTGATACAGATAGGTGAAATAAGCAATCTGTATGCAAAAATATTTTTTCTTTTTCCTTTGTTAGATTGTATTTTTATTACGTGCCATGTGGGTGTAAAAACGGATATGTTTGTTTGCTTCTCTTGATAGGATAAAGGATTACGAGATTTTTCTTTTAAGTCCATTTATAGATTTGTCTTGTTTCGTATGGAATATTCTAGATTTGTGTCCCTCTAGTGTGGTGAAATCGACATGCAAGCTAATAAATGGGTTTTCGAACTTTTATAACTCAACCCACTGTTTAATTTCGGACAACCTTCCTCGCCGAAGATGGCGTCATTAAACAGTATGTTACATCATCTAGAATGCACTATTTAGGCTACTTAGTTACCGTCAAGCTGTGTTAATAACTAGCCTTCCGGCTTCTACGACTAGGCTATCCAGTCAGGCTACTTTAGAACCTAGTTCCTATGTATTTTATTTCCTGGGAACCTATACACTATTCAACGAGTTATAAGTAAAAAGTTGTTTGTAAACTTGTCATAAGAAACTAGAATATTAATATATTCACACAGCGACGTGTTTTTCAGTCGCTTGATATTTGCGTGGGAAGCCACGATAAATAAATACTTACATAACTTTATTTTGCGTGCCAACACTCCCATGAAAATTGGTTTCTTACGTGTATAATTATATTACAAATAGGGGTTGCATGTCAACTTTGATAATAAGACGGTGAACGATGGGATCAATTAAAATTTGTACAAGTTCGTTACCCATGAACGATGACGCTAGCCTTTTTCTGAGGTTGGGAAATAAAAAATAAGAAGCTAATAATTATTATTATGTTAGGTATTATGTACTTTCTAAACTCTGATACCACCAACATGGTGTCAGTTACGTCGTATCAAATGTGACGTGCTCAATGATTACGAAACATTTTCACGTACAAAAATTCCTTTCAATAAGAAATACATCATAAAAATATGTGTCTGAATGGTTGGCAGTTGTTGTGCGGGCGGTATGCGGCACAGGCGGCGCGGCGCCACAAAGCATTACGTGATTGTACGCAATGAGCTCCTCTTACAAACACAATACTTCTTCAAACCACCTTATCAGAGCTACGATGATAACATTTCGATTAAGCGACTCCAATTGAATCGTTTCGGTTTCCATGTTATCGAGCACGCGACCACATCCTACATCAAACTTTATTACACCATACATGTCAGCGGTGAATAACCCCTTCGTAGTAAAACGACTTCATTCTTGATTGTCTTTGTTACAGGCTTGATCCACCTGCGGCTCAGTCACAATACCAAATGGAGAACAAAAAGATCCCGCCGGCGACGCAGCAGCCGCTCACCCAGCAACACCTGCTGGCACATCACGTGCACCCCGAGCAGATCTACTCTCAGCATCATCCTCAACTATCCCACCTCAGTTCTTCTCAAACAGGCCAAATACAACCAAATGGCGTCATGCACCAGTTACTGCAGAGTCAGTATCACTCAAACATGAATGCACGATCTCCGCTCCTTGAAAACAGACACGATTTGTATAGTACTGGTCACAATCACGATTACGCCCGACATTATGGAGCAAATGATAACTATAATTACCCACAGTCACCACCCAGACACGAAAGGACAGAGGTGCACACAGATCAGAACGTTAATCACGAGCTACTTCACAATATACCTAAAGGATACAACGCAGAAGTCTATCAAGATTATTTAAAACGAAACCCACCGAAAGATACCAATCAAATATACCAAAATCATCAACCTATGTATAGGCCTAATGTTAATCCTAATCAGTATGGATCCAAGCCATATCTGCCATATTCTAATAGAATAGGACCTCAGAGTAACACAGAATTATTACGTAGACAATATAGTGAAATTCAACAAATGAAATTGCAGCAGCAGCTTCATTATCAAAATCAGGCACAAATGCACCAACAACAGAAATTCGCTGAACGACAGTTGTTACTGCAACAGATTCACGGAGTACAGCCACCACCTAATTTACAAAATAGTATATACTCAGATGGTTCATACAGAGACTTGGATCGATACAGTAGTAAGAACGATTTCAAAGAATATAGTAGCCCTGATATACAAAAAGATATCGACAGTTATGCTAAAAACAATGAGTACAAAGAGTATGAAAAGCAAAATAGGCAGTACGAAGCTCAGTGGAATCAAAATCAGCAAGCTGAGTACAGAGAGCAGGAACAACAATATAGAAGGCAGTTAGAAATGGAGAAAGGGAAAAGCCAGTCTCCACCATCAGATTATAAAAGCCAAAGTCAAAAGAATAATATGAGTGTCGCATCACCCATGAAGTCTAGCGAATCTAGTACTCCTAGTGTGAAGTCTCCATCTTCGGACAGTAGGCGGAGCAGTGGTGGAAACCAAGCTCTGCGATCACCTATAGCACACCGTGTACCATCCGCTCCGGTCACCATGTCTGGAATCCTTTACAAACAAGGTTCAGATGGATTAAAAGTATGGAGGAAGAGGTGGTTCGTTTTGTCGGAGTACTGCTTGTTCTACTACAAGAGTAAGTTCTAAAAAAAACATTTTTTTGTATTTTGTAGTTATTTGGCCAGATTTTTGTTCAAAATGCGACAAAAAAAAATTAAAATTTCCAACAAGACCTGTAATGTGCATGTAATTTAATATACATAATACGTGTTTGTATTTCAGGTCAAGACGAAGAGAAACTTCTTGGCTCAGTGCTCCTGCCGTCATATAAGGTATCAGGTTGCACCGCGGAGGACAAAGTGCTTCGGAAATTTGCATTCAAATTGGAACATGCGAATATGAGAACTTACGTCCTTGCGGCGCCTGATCAGGAGGCAATGATGAAATGGGTGAAGGCGTTGACCATGGCCGCACTAATGCAGAGCCCCAAGTAAGATATTTTAAGCATTGACAGCTACGACTATTCTCGACGAATGTTCACCTGACGATTGAGTTATTACGTTCCATCATCTGGTATACTAGTCAAATATCAAATCTGTTGATTTTAAAAACCCATTAATTTCTATTTCTAGTGAGCAGCCGCAAAAACAGAGCGATCGGACAGCTGCGAAAACTGAGGTGGGTATTATTGTAGGCACGTATAATGTACCGGTGCAGGTGATCGGCAATTAGTTTGCTGGAGCGGAACCAAGGACAGGCATTATATGGTCGTTATAACTGCAGATAATAGTGAGGACGACGCCGCAGCAAATTGATTGTTACATTAGTAAACTGTTCAGAACCCATTTAATGAATACATCACAAATTGGTAGTTGCTTGTGGAATCAAGACTGTGCATAAATAAATGATCATTAAATACTTGTTTTGCTACAGGATGTCGATGAAATACCAACCTACGCGAATGCTCCACCGAAACCAAGGCGCTCTAATGAAGGATACAATTCACCAAGCCCTGACATGTAAGACCAATTATTTTAATTTAAAATACCCAAATACAAATTCAATAAACAAACTTTACATGTTCTTATACTATCAATTTCCATGTATTACAGGTACGATCCAAACTATGACCTACTCAAAAAGCCAGCATCACATTACAGTCAAGGCACTAGTCACGCACGATATCAAGACCACGCAAATTATCCAGCCAGTCCAAACCAAGAGCCTACATACACTCGCAGTCCGCAATCTCCACCGCCAGTACAACAACAACCACAATATCAAACAAAACGACCACCTTATGATACGCAACATCTCTCTTTGCCATTAACAAACACAGTCACCGACAAACTTGAGAACAACCAACCCAGTACCTCATCTATGTATAAATCTAATCCACAATCGCCTTATTTTGATAGGAATAGAAGCCAACAGCAAATGGCACAAGAAAACAGGGAACAAAATATATACGAGAGGCAATCGCAACGTAATCCTTTCCTGCAAGATACGACTCCTCAGACGGAAACATCTACAAAAGATGAACGAAATGAACAACAGAATAACTCTCGATCGAATATGAAGGAAGAAAGGTCTGAATCAGTTCACAAGGAATCTTTACACAATGATAGTAGAAATAGCGCTAAATCTAATCTAGATTTAAATGCTTACAATAGGGATATGTATGGGGAGTTGACTTCTAGGCAAGTTAGAGCGGGAAGTGCTTTAAACGAACGTTTAATGGCTGAGAGGCGGACGCCAGACGCTTACGGTAGATCTACAACAATGTCTGCTTATAACAAAGGCAAAATGGGAGACTATGAGGATGTATACTCACAATATGTCACCGAAAATGACTACGGTAAAACATATGCCAAATCGCCAAACCCATCTCAAGGTGATGCAGTGAGCACTTCTTCTAATCAACAACAACAAAAATTGCCAGGAAATTATGTAAGTTAACATTATTTTTATTGGAATGATTGTTATGTATTGTTTTCTTGGTAAGGTTTTTTTATTAGTATAGTGACCAATAAATACGATTTTTAATCTTCTTTGTATCTTTTCAGCCTCAAGAGAAAACATTCAGCGGACCTTCAGTTCTAAGGCGAAAGAAAATGCAATCGAGTGGAATTCAACCTCCAATGCCACGTCCGCATAGTGCAGATTTTCTTGAATATGAGTCAAAAGCGGAAATGTTGAACAGATCCGCTCCTTCTCGCTCAGCTTATGATTCATACAAAGAACCACAACGGCCTAAGTCCAGTTTGGATATAAATTCTTACTACGACCCTAGTTCTGATAGATACTATTCTGAAGAAAGTTACGCAGAAAAAATGCGTCAATCCGCACAGTATTTGCAACAAGGACTCGTACCGAGTGTGGTTCCTAGAAATATGGAGATACCCCTCGCTAATTATGCCAGTGGCTTAGCAAAGAAACAACTGAGCACTGCATATTCACAAATGACGAATAATAATTACGAAGCTGAGTTTAGTTCGAATCGGGATAATGTAAGTTTTAATTCGAAGTACGGTGATTTAGAAGCACTGAATTCTAATTGGACATTAAAAGAAAAAGAGATACAAAAGGAATATCTAAATAGAAGTGGTAGCGTGATGAGCGATGGTTCCAACGTCAGTGGATATGTTAAAGAGGCAGCGAAATATGATACTAATGCTGATGGATTTATGAGATCTGCTAGTGCAAGGTTACCTTCGACATCTACAGAAAAGGAAGGTGAAAAGAAAGTTCAACAGGTAAAAAACGCACTAATTTAATTGTTAAAATAACAGGATCTATATTATAGAATGTATCGAATAAATACAACATTTTATATATTTTCCAGCGTGAGGAGTCAATGAAACGTTTATTGGAGTGGAAGCAAAGGATGTTGCAATCACCCCTAACCAGAAAAAGTACTCCTGCAACAATATCTCTCGCAAGGTCTCTCAATCATAGTCGCCAGTCTCTACGATCAGACCAATATAAATCTAAAACGTATACGAACGCGTCATACAATAGCTATTCTTCGGATGATGAAGGTATGGGACTACTACTGTTTTAAGTTATTCTCTTATGATTATAATGTGTTTAGTACCCAAGTAGTGTTTATTTTGTAGCATGGTTAATAACTTGAAAATTAGAATGGTTAAAATAAGTACGAATCAACTATGAAAGAAGCATGAAACTTTTTACATATTTTATCGTAAAAGTTATTGTAATTTATGCATGAACAAAGACAGCAAAGATTTGTATTACGTACTATAAAGTTGGATACTGAATATATTGTGTTATTAAAATATTGCATAGCATTAACATTCTAATAGAACTTTATTTTACGCAAACAAAAAAAAAAATAAATCATGCCATACTTTTTGGAACTCAATCCTTAATAAAAGTTCATTAATTGCGACTACTATTATAATCTGGAGGCGTACAGTATTGTTTTCCCATATAATCTACCCTATTCTCTTAAATAATGAAAATGCCATTTAAGAATTGATAATACTATATTCATTATTTTATGTGTATTCTTTTATCATATACATGGAACACCTGCAGTAGCATTATGATGACTTCGCTTTGCGGAGAGGTACCTTCCTGCCTGCGGGGACATTGTGCCACTAACATATTTTTACTGGTCTATTATTCGGTGGTGGGTTACGAATCTTAGTTCTTATTGGTGATATTTTGAGTAGTTTGCATCAATCACTCTAACACCCAAAGCCAAATATACTAACATTGTGGTGACCATAAGGAACACTTTGAAACATTATTATGTATTGAATAATTACTATTGAGATAGTAATTATCGGTTTCACTTTTGCACCTCAGAGGGAACATCGGGCACTGATCTGCAAAAACCCAGAGATATGCAGGCAGGAAGGTCTCATAAAGTGAACCTAACAAGTCCTATCATTATGCGACCTATAACCCCGCACGCGCCCTCTATTACTCAAACTGATCCAATAGAAAATACTCCTAACGAGAAGATGAAAATTACCAAGGACACGGAAAATACTTATCAAAACGTTTTGTGTACCATATCTATTCCAAAAGTCAATTTGGAAGATGATCTTGAGAATTCCACACTTGATTTCGAACAGGAGAAAATAGAAGAACATGTGCCACCAACAATGTCAGAGGATGGATATGAAACTGAAGACAGTGAAGCAGAGTCAGAAACACAGATTGAATATACTGATAATGATCTCGACGAAGTATTGTTAGACTCTGATGAAGAAAACCAAAATAATGTTCAAAAATGTAATGATAAGGAAATCGACACTAAAGAAGAAAACAGTGATATGATACAAGATCTTGTTGAGTCGAAACCAGAAACACCACCAGTAGCTGTTCCTGGAGAAAATCATTATTTGCCAATGAGTCCTAGAAAAGTATCTGTTTCTGAACCTCCTCACAAAGCCATAATTGAAAGTTTGAGCGTATTCGATCAATCAATGCCTCAAACATATGAAGATAATCCCTACGTAGAAATGAATTTAGGAAATGAAGATGATGATGCGCAAACTTATGAAGTGGTTTGTGTCAACAACGGAAAAATAGAACCTGTTTATATGGAACTGAGTAACGTATCCTCTAGTGAGCCTAAATCTCAAGATGAATCTACGAGTTCTAAACTTTTAGACACTGCATCCAATTTTGCCGACTCAAATAATCACACACTAAAAAGAGCTAATAAAACAGATAAGAATTCAAAGGAGAAATCAGAAACTTCTGACGTAGATGATGAAACAAGCAAGGATGTTTCTTTAGATTCACCTTTCAGTAGATTTAGTATATCAGACACATTCCGACCAGCCTCATATTATTTAAATAGTAGTAAAAGTACTTTAGATGTTCATGATAGCTCTGACAGTGAAATATCTTTACCTCCACCGGTACCCACATCTTCTCCTCCTTGTGATGATTTATCGGACGAAGCGCTATCAAAATATATTTTAGAAAAATTGGACAAATCGGATATGTCATATGATAATTCAATTTTGAAAATGTTGACTTCTGAAAACCAAAAGATGAATACTGTCAAACGGAAAACTACATCATTAATGATTTATGGAAGTCGAACGTCTATTCATGATACACTTTCTAGGGGTGAGAAAATTCGTAATAGCCGAGCGAGTCTCACGAATGAGAGAAACAAAATGAGTGAAAGTGCTTGTAACTTGTTGAGCAGTACTTTGCTTGATCATTATAATCAATCAAGTAGTATAGAAACAGATTCATTGAGAAGTTATAGCGCCGAGAGAGGTTCTTCCCGGCTATCACTCGAATCGGATGTCAGTAGTAAATTTGAGTTAGTACCATCGAATTTGTCATCCGAGGTTACAAGTCTGAATGGAAGCGAATTAGCTATAGATTATAGACATCCCATTGGGTATAGAGATTTAGAAATGATGATCAAAAGAAGACCTTTATCTGATGAATCGTTGCTAGAACTAGTCAAGGCTGAAATCCCACTAAATAGTGATAACCCTACGTTCGTAGATTTAGATAGATATTTAGATAATTTACAAGCTGGTACGAGTGAAGAACAAAATATGAGTATCCAAGGACAACTAAATTGTTCTGCACCAGAAACTTCAAATTACAAAGATAATGTAATTCAAGCAGCTTTACAAATTGCAACACACTCTCGCTCCTCGAGCACTCCATTGAATCACAATAGTAGACTGAATAGCTTTGGAAGCAGGAATTCTATCGGGCAACAATTTCGTCATTTAAGTGAACAAACGTCTAGCTATACCGGTTCACAAAGTTCCTGTAGTTCTTCAGGTATACCTAAGTCTCCTATGTCTTATTACTGTAAAAATTACGACGAGGAAAAGCTTTTGAAGAAAAATTTAAATAATGATGCAGTTTCTGATAAGGTAAAGGAGTTTGAGAACGAAAAAATCGCGCTTCGTACAGGGAATGATACAAACGCTTCTTCAACATCTACGGGATTTCATAGCAGGGAAAGTTCAACTGAACACAGTGCTCCTTATTACTATTCTGATCTTTCTTCTCAAGAGCATATTAATGTTTTACCTACTTCCCATTACTTGAAAAATACTAACCTTCATCGAAAGCTAAATAACCAGCGCCGGAGGGGACCATTACATAAGAAAAATGATATTTCACACATTCATAATCCTATTCGAAATAATCAAATTATGTTGTCAGAACCATCTTTCGAATTGGCAACGACAGCTAGAAGCGTGTCTGTTGAGTTCTTGAGTGCTGCTGATAAAGATCCAGAGATTGACATGAAAAATATATACGAGTCGACTGGTGGGAGGAATTCTAAAATTCCCGAATCAATGAACTTATCTGGACTTGGCTGTAAAAGGAATTCAAGTAGTTATAGTTTTCACGAAAGCTCTTCTCCAGAATCAAATGCTGTTAATGCAAGTTCTTTAATAAAACTATCAAGCACTAGTATGTCATCTCACTGCAGTGGAAACTCATCAAACACCGTTTATTATGATGCTGAAGCTGATGCAGGCGCCTATGAAAATGTTGTTTGCCAAGGAGATAGACACTGGGATGAGGATTCTTTATGGAGAGATAATTTGAGACGAGTCTCTCATAGACATGCCCGATCTATGGATGATTTAGACTCAATGCCCGCAGGAACATCGCTATCTACCAAAATTAGTGAAGCATCTGGAATGAGTAGTATAAAAAGAGTAAAAAAGGATACCATCAACAAAATTAGTAGAAACGTTACCTATGTAAATTGTGATATACAAGGTAGAGTATTGAGAACTAAATCGGGTTTTCTTGATCACTTTTTGGAAGAAGAACAAAAATTAGATGAAAACGACGTGTACGTGAGTCTCGCTGAAAGCATAGAATTATCTTCAAAACAATCAGATGAAGGTGTTTACGAACAACTGGCTGTTGAGTCAAATAGTCATATGGGTTACACAAATAAACTAACTTCTGAAGCTGATAAAAAAAGGTTTGAAATTGATAGAGAGAAGTTGAGACAGTGGGATCTGATGTCAAGTGGTTTAATGAAGGGTAGAGTAGGACGCGTGCGGGGCTCAGGTGCTAGTGCAGGCGTGGGAGACGCTGCCTGTAGTACGGACACTGGGACCGATAGTGCAAGCAATGAAGGTATCCTCTAACATTCTATGGTCCTGTAAGGTACACTATGTAAGTTATATTTCTATTACAATATTAAAAAGCAAAGCAAAGTCATTGTTTTAATTTTCTACAAATGTAAATAATTTGGCATTTTTATGTTTTTCTCATCAATTAAATTTAAAATTGGATTTGGTTAAAAGGAAGCATTGAAACACGATAAGGTGTTGAGACAACCAAGCATGCGATTATAACATGGATTGATTTTTTGTAAATAGTTATCAATATTTCTACTAATACGCGAACTGATACACACTTTATCATGTTTACTTCTCAATTTTTATTATAAAGAAATTAATCTGATTTTAAGTATATTGTTAGTTGTAAACTATATCAAACTCACGGAGTAACTTTTTCAGCTTCTATGACAATGTCAGGCGCGCATACGGAATCTGGTACAAATAATAACTCAAAAAGTCAGCAAGCATTGTCAAAGAAAGCTTTTCTCGGAAGTAATACGTCAATTGGAAGAAGCAGTCGGGACGCCAATATACCGGTACGAGCAGTGAGCCCAAGAGTTAGATGGGTAGAAGACAAACAGTCTAACGACCACTATGGCTCACAGCAAATGTCGACGTCTCAGCAAAACGTAAGGTTCATTTTACATCCCACAAAAAGAAAAATGTGAAACTATAATTTCACGTTAATTAATGTATTTATTTACTTCACAGCTAAACACATTAAATACTACGGAGGACTCTTGGGCTTCAGCCAGATCTCCCTCTAGAGCTTCCCAGCAACCAATCAGAGCTGTGAGCCCTCGAGTCCGCAGAAACACTGAGAATGATGAAATGGTACGCGACTCGTAACTTTAAATACAACTTTTGTTTTGTTTGTTTTAGTTTTTTTTTGTTTGTACCGTAGTTCTTAGCTTTCACATTATTATGTATATTCTGTTATAGTTTTTATTATTTTTGCATTTTGCTTTATCATTTGTGTTACGTTTTGTATTACCATATTAGCAACGGGGGGTGCAGCAGCCGAACCAAAATGAACAGTTAGGGGAAATTCCAACTGCTGGAGAACTTCTTGGTCGAACTCATGAAGAATTGGTGTTGCTCTTGATTCAATTACGGAGACGCCATGCGGCGACCCATCGGGCCATCGAGCAGTGCTGCGCTCAAATCAGTAGTATTGAGGTGTTTGTTACGGCTTTTTATTATCCTTTGTTTAGTTGCGTTATGTTTGTTTTCATATTTATTGATATACATTTACATACCTTTTAGTAGTTTTCAAGAGATTTGTGGTTTGTTTCTAATTAATCATTTAACAAGTTAAAGTACAAAACATTCTAAACAAAACAATATATTTACAGGATTGTCTCAGTTCTTTAAAAGCAATGGAACGGGAAGAAAGTCTTCAACGTCTTGAATTCCTTAAAAATCAGTTAATGGAGCTAGAACATCAGTATGAAAAAAGCAAACCTCTTGTCCAACTCGTGGACAATATGGTCAAGTTAGGATCTCTGTACAACCGGCCTGGTTCTACCATCGAAAGGTTGGAAAGAAACCAGAGGCTGCGACAGAAAGTTCTGGCTGAACATGCTCTGGAACAACAAAGGTACCTATTTACATTTTCGTAGTAAATATTCGATTTTGTCATAAGACATCCAAAACAAAATTCTAATCTTATGGCTTAATTTTCCAGATGGCTCGAAAGTGTGGCTGCAGGCAAATCTTTGGAAACAGAAGCAGCTAGAGCGAGAGTAGCCGAGCTGTGGGCATTGGAACAAGAACTTTCTGATGAAGCCGCCATATTGCAAGGTCTGAGGACTGATAAGGATGCTATTGAGAATTTACTTTCTGGTAAGAGATGTGAAATGTGCTTTTTGTATTAACAAAATATGGTTTATTTTTCCATTTCCTCACTGTCATAATAATCCAATTAAAAATATTCTTTACAAAGGTAACAAGATATAATTTTGAATCTTAGGTGTTCGCGGTAAGCTGGATAGTGTTCACAAAGGCGAGATCAATGTAGAAGTCAATCCTCCAGCGCCTCGAAGACCAACAGCTCCACCCAGTCATGCAGCAGGAGGCCTCGAAGAGGAACTGGCGCGCGTGCAACAGATGTTGGCGCACAATTCTAAGGTTTATAAGGTTTTCGTCTATATGATGCACTTTTATTTTTTGTTTATTTTTATTGTATAGTATCTATAAGTACTTATTTTATATCTTTGTAAAGCACAGCTACTATAGACTAAATTTTTCGAAAACAAATGTTACCAATCCTGCAATAATTCATTTAGAAATTAATATGTGTGTTTTTGGAGTGTAAATGTAATAACAACTCACAATGCATGACTGATAATGAGGATAGTAAGAATTCCGTTACTAAGAAATGTCTTCTTATTGTATAGAAATTGGAGCAGACGGTTGCGGATAACGCTCGGTTGGAACGTGAACTGCAGCAACTGCGGCGCGCGCTGCAGGCGAGGCGAGCCGCTGGACACCAGCATCATGCAGCCAACCCCACCGCCATGTTAGAAGATGGTTAGTACGATAAAATAAACTATTGTAAAGTTACTCTGCATCACTGAGAACGATCACTGGTCTTAATTAAGTGCCTCTGAAGGAATCATAGCAATATAATTGTGTTAATAGGTGTGAACCTAGGAGTTCCTTTAATTTAAATAGTTATTTAGGTTACTGTTGAGAAGTAAATCAAAGAGTGAGATAGTTCTTGTTCCGTTTATATCAACTACGAGTATACTAACTGGCTCGTCTTTGTTTGCAGAAGTTTCACGCGTCCAGCAACTGGTGACAGCATTGCAGCGCCAGCGACAGGAGCTGAGCCGTGCAGTCAGACATCTGACTCAACAGTCACACGCGTTGCAGAATACACACGATTCTATGCCTGGTTAGTGATCTACTTTGTTCATTTTTACTTAAGTTGAAAAGATTGACTTGAAAGAAGCCACACGAAAAGATAATTAAAAACAATGTACTCTATCCATTTGCTCACAAACTATTGCCATTGTCATCGATGAGACTGGCACAATGACAAGTTAACATCTTTGTTTCCTTTCAAGAGTATTGATCCATATTTTTTTGCTACTATTCTCTAGGAAAACGTCGTCCCATGTCTTCGTGGCAAGAAACCAATTTGGACACAGGTCACACGATCGACCACGGTCACTCTGACTACGACTATGACGTAGGACCGCTGATGCCTCCTGGTCACTACGATCATTCCAATGTTGAGACACCCCTCTATGTGGACACTAGAGGCCCAGGTGCTGACGTCACTTCACCACTCAACAGTGAAGACTTACAACATGCTGGTTTCAGTAAGTAAACGGTTTAGGTCATCTTTGATTAATTATCCTGGAATTTTCTTACCTATTTTATTAATCTTGTGACTCTTTTTAACAGGTAACCTAACAAATGTAGAGAAGCAGGAGATAAAAACGGTCCGCATAGTCAAGCGAGAGAGTGAACGACGTCAACGAGACAGGGAACGTTCCCTTCAGCCCATGTCTGATTGGCCCACCAACAACATCACTGCTAATCTAGACCAATTTCTGGAGGAAGAACTCGTACAATCACTTAATTACTCGCGATCGACTTCACTACCTCGAAACGAACAATACGAGCAAGTATACGGCATGAGACGTGACAATAACTACTTGCAGCCGAACATGGATCTCAGTCCCAAATACGTGTCAAGTCCGTCTCTTTCCAACTATGATTACTCGCAAAATATGTCTTCTTTGAGCAGCAGTTACAACAAGAGCTATGACAGATCTGGATATGATCGTACCATCTCTTTGTCAACACAGTACTTAAATAGTCCCACTGATAGCTCAAGGACGTTGACGAATGATCCTTTGTCAAAGACCAGCAGTGTGGTTAGTTTGACAAGGTCTCATATGGAGCTCTCTCCAATATTCAAGAGCGAGGCCGCTAAACAAATCATAACAGAAATGTCTGGTGATGCTCCTAAGAATGGATCTTTACATAGGAGACAGGTGCCGAAAGAAAAGAGGAGGCACTATACCGCACCTCACCATCTTAGTGCTAAAACGCTAAACGAAATGCCCAAGGATGCGTATAATCAAGACGTAAGTAATTTGGCAATGTCAATTTTTGCTCAAGCTTAATTATCTTAGGATAAGCTAGATAATTAAATTCATTGTCCCTTTAACCAAAACCATAAATGATTCCTTTGTCCAGAAGATGGGACGATCAGTGGATGACGCGGATATGGAGCGAGCCTTACGTGGCGCGGCTCCAGACGTAGTGAGATCTGCACTACCACCACAAGCGCTCAGATTGGCTGATAATACCATTGACCAGCTTCTCGCTGCACCACAGAAAATCCTCATTCCAGAGAGATATATTCCGGAGAAGGTAAGTTTGGAAACCAATAGAAGTTGGATTGCAAATTGCCTTAGATATTTTGTGATCAGAATCTGACAACGTCGACATGCTAACTTCGGTTAGGTCCAATAAGTGGTTGCATAAATTAATTACTTCTCATCGATTAATCGGCTCATTGAAGCGCAGCTAAGAAACAACATGCTTTCGTGTCTTTGTGTTTTGGACGACAGAATTAATCAGTATCGTTCCGGAATTAAATATTGCGGAACCGTTTTGCATTATGCAATTATGTTCGTGAACAAAGAAGTGCTTAACGATAATTAATACTAAAACTCACCAAAGAAAAATTAATCAATGAAATTACACCTATAAATCATTCGAACTTAGTATGTCTTCTGGAAAATACACCTATTACTGTTTTTTCATAGCCACCAGAACTATCACCAGAAGAGCAACAAAAAAGGCAGGAGAAAGTGGAGTCGATAAAGAAAATGTTGACAGGAACATCGGCTGACCCCAACAAGGTATGCATAATACTACAGTTACATCATTACTATTCACTTCCGAAGTAGATTTACGATGCGTTACTTCCTAAAAACATATGAACAACGAGGAATACATTCTGTGAATGAATAAATTATGACTATTTCCGATTACCTACTAGTATTGTTTAAAATTTAATGAGGTGAATTGATTCATAATCCCCGTGACTATTTGTTACGTCTATTTCAACTTCTCTTTGCAAATTTCGAGCAACGCTTTATCATAGTATTTCTTTATCATCGGTTGGAAATTGATCTTCATCTACATAGTCGTCTACTTCATATAATTGGTTAATATCGTACAATCTGTCTTGTACATGTATTGCATTTCTGTCCTCATTCACTTTCACTATAAAAACAGTGCACTCTAAATTCGCTCGCTCTGCTTTCATTGTTGTTTGGAATGAACTTTTTATACTTTTTGCATGTTCATTCTATTCTATACTGATATCCCTAGACTCCTAGATGATGTCCTGAAAAATATGTTAGATTTAAATTAGTTTGGTTTTTGCAGATAGAATTTTTATCATCAGAGTTAAATTAATATTATCTAATATTGATTAAGAAAAATTTCGTCATAATTATTTAAGCGATTCTTACTAGGAATGCTGTCACTAAATCTAAATGATTCTATCTGAAAAGACCACAAAGCTTGTATAGCCGCTTCGAATGTTGGCTGTAAATATGTAAATCGGCACAGTCCTACATGTGTGTGCTTGTATGATGACCGTTAGAGTCCGGATGCTGACGAGAAGCGGCAACGGGAGCACTTGCTACAAATGAACCAGATACTCGCCAAGCAGGTCACTGAGATGAGCAAAATCATCGCCGGTAAGGACGTTGCTTCATAATCGTTTTGCCTTCTACAGTTTTCTTGTCTTGTATGTCTGTATTTTTGATGTTTAAATGTAATGTCAAATCTGTTTCATAATCCTATGATCCTTCTAGATCAAGTTCATTAACTAAATTATTATGAGATGATAGTGTTTTAATACAATTAGAGGAGTCGTAGTATAGTATAGGTTATGGAATGGATTTTTAGTGCACTATATTGTCGAATGTTTTGAAAGTCAAGTGATCATTTGCCTTTATACATATTGTGTAAGGCTACACAGACGATGTCCACATTTGGATTTTTGTAACAGTTTGTGACTGAATTGACAATCTAGTGAACAATTACTTTCTCTAAATGTTTAATATCACGTTCACATGACTCTAAATGTCCATGTAGGTAGACTATTTCAAACATTTGATGAATGTTTCACATTTTGATTGATTTTGACTCACAGGATTGCCATTTTGATGTGTTGTTTCTTCAATTCAAAGTAGCAATTGTTGTGTGTGTTGATGTGACTAACCAAACACGTGTGTGTCACGCCAGTAACAGTTTGCTTGATGTTGTTTGTCCCGTTTTGTGCAGGAACCAACACCGAACAAGGACCGTCCGCATCCAACCACTGATTAGCCATCTTACATTACACACCTGCACATTTCACACTATCCTCAATCCATTTCCATCTATTAAAATAGGGTATTACAGCATTTGTTTGCAAAATGTTTACTTCAATTACTTTTTTGTATTAAACAGATGATGTTTACCCATTCCTAACATAAATCGCTTTAAGTCCCTCAAAAATCATACCCTTGTAAATTGGCTGACTCGGACGGTTCTTAGAAGATTCCCTCTACCCCGTGTGTTGCGGCATGGTTTCGTTTTTTGCATTTGGTTGTGAGTAGCTTACTTTTTATTTTTTAGTTAAATTTTATTAATATTTGCATCGTTTTATTTTGCATTTTGATGTGTGAATGGTGGATTGGAATAACAGATTTTTCACAACGATTGTATTCTAATGGTTACAATTTTATTATCAGTGAAAGCGTTAGAAGAACTGCCTCAAAATGGTAATGCTGACGACTTGGACGATCGTTCACCTGATGTAGAACTGCCCATCTATCAACAAAGAGACAATTTCTTCACCTAGTACTAGGTACTTGAGAGGATTTACACAATTATTGGACTAGGACAAAATAACAAATATAGACAACCTGCGTATTTAATAACGTCTTATGATATACCTATTCAAATCATCACCCACATAATTGACTAGACTGGTATTTGGCTGTCTTTGGCTTAGAAAATTCTTTGGCAATTTGTAGGATCTAAAATGTATTTACCTACATGTATTGTTTAACCTAGTTTGAACGTAACCGAGCTCGGCTTTAAATAAAGGATAAGCAGTCAATGTAGAATGTTCAATTAATAGTTCATAATGTAATCGTTTTTTCGTATGTTTATAGGTGAGATTATAAATCAAATATTTATAACATTTGTAGACATAAATAGCAACATGTAATTGTTTCTAATTTTGTAATTAGTGAAATTATGTGGTTTTAATCTCGAAAATTATATGAAAACATGTGAGAAAATGAGAAAAGCTTAAGTCATGACTGCTTTTAAAAAATTTATAAAAGATAATTACTTTGTTTCTACCAGATCTGTTTGTACTTTGTGAATCTCAATGTTTGATGTTTATAGGAACTAAATATTATATTAGTCAATGTGTTTCGACTGCAATGTGCGTTCCACATATCTATCAAAATATCATATATACCTACTTATATAAAACGTGTAATTAATGGCTAAGAAATAAATAGGAATTGGTATTTTTTGTAGCATTTGCTCAATTTGTGAACATTCCTTAGCGATGTTGTTTTTGTAGTGTATATGACTCTGTAAAATACGCATATTGTTTTGGCCAGTTTGTAAATTGATACTTTTAAATTCAATACTTTAAGAGGTCACAGTTTTTTGCATTATTGCCATTACTTAAGCTTTTGAACGCGACGGTCGGCTATAGACGACGAATAATAATTAAAACGTTTTCTTGTCAGCAGTGGCGAATTAGTCCCGTTTTTGTTTGTAGTCTATTACCGACCGTGGCGTTCAAAAAGTTAAATATATTACAAATTTTATATAGGTACCTACATAAAGACCTCTCAGAATCTCATATTGTATTGAATTTTAATGGTAGGTAGCTTCGATCAATTAATTTTGGTATTTAATACAAGTCTTCTATGTAAAAGGCCTTGAATTGTTACTGTAGACTTAAGATTTAGCGAAATGTACCTAGATGACGATATGATGTTATAGTTGCCATGATTTTGAATAGAAAGTGCACATTTATATTTATATAAATATAATTATAATTTAGCATAACGATAACAATGCGTTTTAGTATTATTTCGTTAATTTCATTCTGTACTTAAATGTAAATATAAATTGTACATTTAATTTAATTTTTCTTGTACTTAAGTCTTGATTTTTTATTATTTGTATGTAGCTTGTTAATTATGTTTATATGTACTTAGTATTGTATAGATAATATTATGTGAACATCTTATGCAACAATATTACACTATGCATCGTTATTTTGATGTCAGAGCAGCATTTAAAAAAAAAAACAATTACATTGTTCAATGTAACTATTTTATGTTTTTTTCTGTGGGGTCTCGAAGTTAGTTTGTTTGATTGGGGATAATAAATGAATGATAAATACTCGATATATATTTACCTTAACCTTAAAGTTTTAACTGAAAGTAAGGAAAAATGGTAAATAAATCGTTTTATTTGGGTGCGAAATTAACTAGATTTGTGTGTAGTACGAAACAAGTGAAACAAGTGAAACAAGTGAATTTATTTCTGCAAATAGGCTACAAGGCAGCACTTTTACACGTCAATTTTATCAAGCGAACGATGAGGTCGACATTTCCTAACTGACTACTCTGAGAAGAAATGCCGAAACAAACTCAGAGGTCTGTCTCTTTTAAAGTCCAGACAATATGTATAACAGATTATGTGTGAGAACCGTGCCAGTTCTTTCTGTAGTGGGCTTTTGAGGAAAGAACCACAACAGTTTGAGCGAACCCGTTCTGAAGGCAGTACGCATGTGTCGGTTTACAGTCAGCTCAATTAACAGGTGAGGCTGACTGATTCGACGAACAATACCAACCTAAAGAACATTTGCGTGGGTCGCACAAATACTCAAACTGTCAGAAAAAGGGTAATTAGAAAAGAAATGGTGAGGCAAAGTCTCGCACGGTCCTAGCACTAACAATTGTTAAATAAAAAGTAAATGTCAAGTTAGAACAACATATGAAAAACAATGTCACATTAAAACAATGTCAAATTGCATATAAAAAAAGAAATGTAACTATATGTTACAAACATGTCAACATGACCTGTGTGGACGTTACAGCAGCTTATTCCCAAGCCAGACTGTCATCTAGGTAGTCTTTTATTTTATAATAAGCTTTACTATAAAATTTATCTTTAATGACATTTTTAAATTTATTTAGACTCAAATTTTGGATATGGCTGGGAATCTTATTGTAAAAGCGTATACTCTGACATCTAAACGAGATAGTACATTATCTATATTAATGTTCATAAATTATATATTGAAGCTTTAAATAAATCAGCCAGCAATATACATTTTTTTTTGTTATAACAGCTTTTTATCAATAGTTTAAGAAAACATATTTGGAATAGAAAAGAACAAAAATGCTTGTGTGTAAAATTATTAGTGCCATGTTTTTGCATTTCGTTTATTTAATGCAATTTTGTCTATGAGTACGTTAAAAATATAATTATTACGTAAAAAGGCTCATAGAGCTTTTTGTAGAAAACCTTTGTCCTTTTGATCCCTTTTTATTAATTACTTAAATATATGAAATTTCCTTCCAAAATGTAAGTCGTAGTATCTGTTAACTGTCAATTATTTACCAAAAATAATCCCTAAATAACTAATTACTCTCGGGATATTCTTCCAAAACGAACTTAAGTAGTAGTCACCATCTATATAACCTTTTATTTTGAAATACTGACTTTTCCGAATTATTGTATCGTAGGACATATTTATTAAAATAACTAATAGCATTGATATCAAAATATATATCTAGAAAATTCCCTTTTGAATCTATGTAATATATAAAATAGTGGAGCCTATAGATCCCGTACTTCAATAAAAGTAGTAGAAATGATATCTTCAAATATCTAACTATATCTTAGGCTGTTTAAGCCGTAATAATGTTATAAAATTATTAAGGGAACATGGTCAAATAATTGCTATTCCCCAATTATATATATAAAAATAAATATATATTGCCTTATAAGTAGACTGGCCGAATAAGAATGATTTCTATTTCAAAATGTATATTAGAATTAGCTGTTGAACTTGTAGCCCCTTGTATTCAACGAATATTTATAATGGTATACTATACATTGAGGAATGAGTTAAAGCTTTTATATTTACTGTCTATTGATTCTATAACGAAGCGAGCAGTGGACACAGCATTATATTACAATTGTTATAAGTACAATAAATTTTCATATAAAATGACAACCACTTATTTTAATTTGAACTGGAATTATTATTTCTGAAAAGGTATTTTATTTTATAATAATTTAATTTTAGTTGCTTTTAGTGTTTTTTTTTTTAATATAATTCGAAGTGCATTTAATTTAAACCTACTTCTAGAAATATTCATTTAAAATGAAAATGAACCTGCTTGCTTCGTTACTAGCCTAACAAAAGCCCCCAAATTAGAAGTACTATGTTGACTGCCTTAAAATGAGTTGTTGTGTAAATACCTACAGGGAATTGTGCATATTATTGTTTATATATAATTGACTATCCAGTTTTACATCAATCCTTGTAATTATAGCGCGTATGTTGTTCACATCTGAAAATAAATGATATGCTGTATTAAATGTTTGTGTTATTTTTCGAAACCCATTTTTTTCTTTTTCTGGGATAATGGGGATGATGACAGGGTATGAAAATTAAAAATACAATTAGTCCGTAACTTAGGTAATAAAAAAATATTAGACACGTATTTTTTTATTTTGTTGTATAATAAAACAATACTTAGATAAAACGAATCAAAGTTTAGGACTGGGGGCTAAAACGTCATTTCTTAGTATAAAATGTACTGAGAAGTGACGTCACGCGACATTTCAAATCAATATATCTTCGAAACTATTCGTTTCCGTAAGAAAATAAAAAATACGTGTCTAATGTTTTTAAATAATCTAACAGACGGACATTAAAATAAAAATTAGTCGTCTACCCTATTGAAGTTAATGATTGAGTTCTTTGGTATTGGGTAATGAAATCATATATTGGGATTTTCGAAATCGAAGTAATCGTAATATGGATAAAGAGTTTTTAATGCGTTTGGCAAGGGACACGATTGTAAAAGGAGCACAGGTTTCAAAGTACATTAGTGAAAAGTAAGAGTAAGGCTAGTGTTCCTTATTGACGCCCTCTGTTGGAAATTGAAAGCTGGCATTAAACTCTTTCATATAATATCTCACTCTTTCATACAAAGGCTTAGTATCGTCGCCAAAGATACGCCGAAAATCCGATAGGTAGCGCAAAGCTCAATAACAAACTTTCTTGAAGTATGGAATAAACATATTTTCCTTTAAAAAAAATTAAAACAAAAAAAATACATTTAAATCAGATTGAGCACTACGTTAGAATGTCTGAGGAAGGAACCCTTGCGATATTACTCATAAAAATATGAATTTAAATTCGTGCAACGATAAGTAATAACATAAAGGATTAATTAAACGAAACTTGACGAAATCAGAAAATCTTGTGGTATACAGTAATTTTAGAGAAACATTTCTACCGACTGCGGTGCGCAGACTAGATTGTATGGTCAACCACACTTCGTTTACCTAATTTTTTAATATAAGTGAGTAGTCTAAATAGTAAATGGACTATAAAGTTCATTATATTAGGTCTGTTCTGCGATATCACTGTTTACATCTAAGTATTGCAGCTTGTACTCAGTAGTTTAAAAAGTCCAATAGATTTGTAAAAATCAAAAGAATACCCTTTTGAGTTGTATGGATATTATTAGGTGCTATAAATACAAGGAGACGATAATTAAGGAGGCTATGTGACAGTGGGTTATACTTTTAATATAAATAGGTCGCATTGTTGGTTAAACAATGGTTTATTTGGCATTACGAATTCTCAGAAGCAACATAGAATATCGAAACATCTGGCTCATAACCAAAACATTCGCCTAGACTCCTAGAGAAATGTACAGTTAATATCAACATGAAAATAAACGTCTATCAGCTATTGTACTGTCAAAATTATAGGTAAATTGATGATGTTATATTATTTTTCTATATTGTGTTTTCCTTTTATATGTAATTGGGCAGACGACGAGTAGACGTATCTGCACCCTTTTTTTATAGCATAAGCCGGTAAACGAGCGGACGGATCACCCGATGGTAAGCAATCGGTGCCGCCCATGGACACTTGAAACACCAAGGCGTTACAAATGCGTTACCGGCCTTTTGGGAATTGGGATTTTGAGGATTGTGGAGGATTCGGGGATTCGGGAGACGGGGATTAGGGAGGGGGGTAATTAGGCCTCCGGTAACCTCACTTACACGACGAAACACAACGCAAGCGTTGTTTCACGTCGGTTTTCTGTGAGGCCGTGGTATCACTCCGGTCGAGCCGAAGCATGGCTCTCCCACACTTAAACCTGTAGCCAAATGCATTTAGCGTTTGTCTACTTGTACCTCTAGAGTAGAAAACCAAATTATATGGAATTGGCGTAAATTTTGACACTTGTCAGTGTCATCACCATGCATTTAGCTTTCTACTCCCTCGGTAGACAACGTTTTTTTACGGGGGGAAAATTATCGAATGACTTCTCCCGCCTAGGCGAGGCGGGAGGGAGTGTCAGACTCTTACTGACTAAAAACCACTCCGTTCCTACTCCTGTACTTCAAGCCGGAGCCACGGTAACCTGTTAGATTCTGCGCGACTTCGAGTTGGCATCAGCCCTATTCGGCCACATCCGTGGTGGTCTGATGGCCTTTGAGGTGCGTGCGGAACGCGACGCGCCGTACGCTCGGGTCTGGTTCTGGTTGGGCGGCGAGCTACCCATGTTCGCCGTCCGCAGGCCCGCGCTTACGGTGGCGCTGGAGGTCGTCCGGTAGACAACGCTAAAGTGGCGTTTGACTAAAGCCACTGATGATAAACAATCGACGTAACCCATGGACACCGGCAACACCAGAAGAAGAGGTTAAGTATTCTGCTAAATCTTACGAAGACCAAAAAGTGTTATGGTTTCTTACAAATTGCATGTTCGTGTAATCTCGATGAAATTGATATAAAAAATATAGGAGAGTGTTTATGTATTAACCCGCTAATGATCGTTAAGATGCCGTTAGCATCGCTTATTGAATGGTTCGCGATCATGATTGATGCGTATCGAAGAAAAACCGACGGTTCGAACTTTGTATATGTACTAGATTTACATTTTTACACTTGCAATTATCTGCACGAGTCAGCAATATTATTAAATTGAAATTATTAATTGTCTGTCTTTAAATATTATGTGTCTCTTTAATTGTTACAGTTTAGGTTTAATGATTGTTTATTCACTTATAAAGAACATGGTTCACTTACAAATGACTAATTATAACTAGTTACAACAATTATCAAATGGTATTATTAAATATTTGTAAAGATTGCTTGGTTTATTTTTGTGACTATAAAAAGTAAGTCTTAATTTTCTTTTTTATGGCATAAGCCGGGAAACGAGGAGACGGATCACGTAATGGTAAGCAGTCGGCATCGCCCATGGACACCTGGAACACCAGACGCGTTACAAGTGCGTTACCGGCCTTTTGGGGATTAAGAG